CCCTGGATCCCCATTCTCTAGCAGCTCTTAAATAATATCGACTTTATGTCCATACACTTAGTATACATAGTGTGTATATGCTTAGAAAGATGTGTGTATGACTCTGTATATATGCACAAATAGGTGTTTGTCTCTCAGTGTATATACACTCAGACATGTGTATCTCTCAGTGTATACTCATACACATTTAGTATGCTTTCACGCCTGGTATACATTGCCGGTATACATTTTATTCCTTTAATTCATAATAATTTTACGTGATCAATAGATCACGATTATATTCCCTCCGATAGATAATTGACGTCAATTGGAAACATAAAAATAAACTAAATCCCGAAGGATTTAGCGCTTCTCAGGTTTGTCAGGAATCATGGCAAGTGTTTCCTGACGCGGGTCTCAGTCATATGATGACCCGCAGCTGGAGCTTTTGGTTATCTGACAGAGACCTTCCACTGGCTTCTACCTCCATCCCCTTTAAAAATTTAGTGGATATATTGGCATCGCTGGGCCTTTCCTGTGGTCAGCAGAGGCGGGATGACGACAGCAACGATGGTGCTGACGGTGGGGCTGCTGACGCTGACGGTGCTGGTGCTGACCTTCAACAACAGAGCGTTAAGGAAGAACATTGATAGGGAGAAAGAAGACAGAATCGCCAATATTAAACAAAGGTTAGTCTTTTTTTTTTCTTTTTTTCTTGTTTTCCTTTCTTTTTTTTTTTCCTTTTTTCGTTTTTTTTTTTTTTGACTTTTTTTTTTGCTTTTTTTTCATTTTTATTTTTTCAATTACTATTTTCTTTTACTTTCTTATTTTTCGTTTTCTTCTTTTCTTGTTGTCGTTGTAGTTGTTGTTGCACTATGAAACTACCATTGTTAATGGTGCCGTTACTAGGCACCATTAACAAGGTGCACCTCAAACATTCTGGCAACCTTCTCTCTCTCTCTCTCTCTCTCTCTCTCTCTCTCTCTCTCTCTCTCTCTCTCTCTCTCTCTCTCTCTCATATTTTCAACGTCAAAAAAGAAAAATCTTGATCATTTTCGACTACACAACTCTTTACCAATACACTGATGCCACAACAAACAATGTGAGCCGGAATCAAAGATCATCACAGCCTCCCACTGCCTTTCCAGGACTGCCTCAGTCTACCTGGTTTCTGTGTCAATGTTAATTCCTACTGTGGGATGACAATGGGCAGCTCTCGATGTGCTGTGTTCGCAGACCTCTTCATGGACGTCCTCATTCCCTACATCGTTGTTACCTGGCTAAGGATCCCGATGGAAATAAATCATTTTAACTTTTTTGGTAATTTACACATATGTTACTATGTAGATAATTTGCGGAATTGTATTTATGTGTACGTGTACCTAAATAAACTTATTTTTACGCTGGAGATATCTTGGTGCTCTATCTCAGATGTAATATCCACTCCCTCGACAACATCAGCGCTGTCGATCCATCTATGAAGTTGTTGAAAATGGTATAAAATAACAACAAGTTGAAGATTAAGACACATGTGCAACAGCTGGGTATTTTTATTGACGAAACGTTTCGCCTACACAATAGGCTTCTTCGGTCAAATACAAAGGGAGCAGTAGTAGTGAAATAAAGATGTAATTAGTCCATCAACCTTGGAGAAAGTATTTGAGGTGGTCAGTCCCTCAGCCTGGAGAAGAGTTCAGCTCCATAGTCTGGAACGATATGAAGCCGAAGCACGAGAACGGAGTCTTAATACTGTCGAAGGTCAGGTGGAAGATCTCGAAAACGTTGCATGGGACGAGATCCACTATGAGATTTACACTGGAACTCGAAAAAGAAGACAAACTTCCTTTCCTCGACGTCCTGCTGTACAGGTCTCCCGACAGCCATAACCTCTTCTCTTCAGAGTGTATAAGAATTTCAGCAACAAGAATACTCTTATCTATTCATACTATGACACTCGCACAAAGAAAGAGATATTCTTACTGGTTTCTTCTTAAGGATTACTCACATCTCCAGCCCTTGTTAAACGTAACTACATAACACAAGCCTTCACACGTCTTCAGATTTCATCTTTCTTCCTCCTGGATTACAGACTCAAGCCTGAAGCTCTCCTTAATAAATCCTCTACAGAACACTTCTACAAACAGTTCTTAGTGCTTCCATGTTGAGATGTTACCAGGAACACCCGCCAGGTGGTTGCTTGATGGACGCTGTATTCACCATAGATACAGCATCCATCAAAGGCCTCACTACGAAGCAAAACCCCAGACATCGTGCTTCCATGGCAGACGTCTGTACCATCCCATGTGAACACTGTTCCAAGAAATATGAAAGAGAAACAAGGCAGACGTCTATCCGCCTAAGTAAACATCGAATCGCCTGCAACAGCTGCGGCTGTGTCTGCCCCGGAAACTCCACGGGGATATTTGGTGAGTGTTACACAAATAACTCTCACATAGGAGAGAGAAGCTTACGACGATGTTTCGGTCCAACTTGGACCATAGACTAGCCACACAATGGTCCAAGTCTGATCGAAACGTTGTCATAAGCTTTTCTCTCCTATGTGCGGGTTATTTTTGTATTGTTCCAGTCACGGTATTGTGATTTTTGTTTTCTGGTGAGTTGGAATGAAGGTCAACGCATCCAAACTGAACCCTGAGCTTAGACACCAAAGATGCCTGGAAGCCTCAATAATCGCTCTCACAGACACCTTGAACAAAATACTGGAAGCTACAGAATTTAAGAAAAGCTAAGAAGTATTCCAGAAAGCTAAGAAGTATTCCAGAAAGCTAAGAAGTTTTCCAGCAAGCTATGAAGTTTTCCAGCAAGCTAAGAAATTTTCCAGCACTCTAAGAAATTTTCCATCAAGCTAAGAAGTGTTCCAGCAAGCTAAGAAGTTTTCCAGCAGGCTAAGAAGTTTTCCAGTAGGCTAAGAAGTCTTCCAGCAGACTAAGAAGTTTTCCAGAAAGCTTAGAAGTTTTCGAGCAACCTGTTTTCCAGCACATGTTTCTTGAGTTATCAAAGATTCCACATAAACAGTTCTCCCTTGAGCGACCTGGTAAACGCCTCTTCCGATCGGGTTCCAACCTTCAAATATCAACCCCCCCCCCGATGAAGCACACGAGAGCTTACGAACATAACACTTAAAATAATTTCCCGGAACGTCGCTAAAACGGCAAATATTTATGAAATTTCGTGCGCGTTAGCCATCTTCAAACCGTCTCATCTTTCCCCCAAAACACCGATCCTCCCCCCAAACAAGCATCAAAGAAATCTCTTCTCCCACGAAAATCCCAATGTTCCCCCTTAAAAAAAAAAAAAATATTTTTCTGCCTTTGTCGGGAGAAAACGGAGGGAATCAAGAAGGGAATGAGACCCGACTTTAAAGGAGTTTTTAATGTGAGTTCGTGTGCGCCTTCTGAGCGATGCCGGGAGACAATGACTGCCAATTCGGGAGGCACTCTTGATTGTTCCCGTCGGTAATAGCCCAAATGAAAGGGAATTTTTTTCTTATCTTCGTTTTTTTAGTTGTTTTGCGTTGATGTTATTTTGTTGTTGTATTTGCGTGTTTGTTTTGGTTAATTGTTGTTGTTGGCTGCTGTTCTTCCTGTTGTTGTTAAAGTATTGTTTGTTTATAATAATAATAATAATAATAATAATAATAATAATAATAATAATAATAATAATAATAATAATAATTATTATTATTATTATTATTATTATTATTATTATTATTAGTATTGTTATTATTATTAACATTATTGGTAGTAGTAGTAGTAGTAACAAAAGTAAAAGTAGTAGCAGTGGTAGTAGTAGTAGTAGTGGTAGTAGTAGTAGTAGTAGTAGTAGTAGTAGCAGTGGTAGTAGTAGTAGTAGTGGTAGTAGTAGTAGTAGTAGTAGTTTAGTAGTAGTAGTTAGTAGTAGTAGTAGTAGTTAGTAGTAGTAGTAGTAGTAGTGAGTAGTAGTAGTAGTTGGTGGTGGTAGCAGTAGTAGTATCACCATTATTATTATTATTATTGATATTATTATTATTATTATTATTATTATTATTATTATTATTATTATTATTATTATTATTATTATTATTGGAGGTGTCTTTTAGAGGTGTTACTGAGAAACCTCTTACTCGTGAACAGAGACCTGAAGCTGGAGGACTGTAAGACAAAAGTGATCCAGTCGGAGAAGGCTCAAACTAACTTCGAAAACCTTGTGAGAAAGGTGAGAAAGCTTACTTCTTGTAGTGTGAGTGTGTGTGTGAGTGAGAGAGAGAGAGAGAGAGAGAGAGAGAGAGAGAGAGAGAGAGAGAGAGAGAGAGAGAGAGAGAGAGAGAGAGAGAGAGAGAGAGATTTAGCGCGGCTTAATAGAGCTCTACATGGAGCTCTATTAAGCCTTACGTTCGGCTGCTCGTTTCACGATAAACAATGTTGATGTTATAGAGCTAAGGGAGACGCGTTCTTTTTTTTAAGCGTTCTTGTTTGGTCTTCCTTAAAGGGTTAAGGGGTGGTTTCATGCTAGGGGGGAGGTATTAAAGGGATCTTGATCCAGGGCAATGGTGCTATCCTTTCCTTTCTAGAATCAAGTGGGATCACTACACCCTTACCTCCCTCCCTCTTTTTACATTTCCCAAGAGATTTAGGGATCCCTCCCTGCGGGTTTAGCATTTCCTATCTGTATAAAATAATGATCATTCTCGGCCTCTCGACTTTCCCTTGCTTTATTCCTTCTCTGGATTCGTCCATATTCTTTCATTTTTCTTTCTCCCTCCTTCCTTCCTTCACATATTTTGTTACACTCGTCTCGTATACTTTCCTCTCTACCTTCCCTTCCATTTTCCTGAGTACTTCCTTTCATCACTTCCCTTACCATTTCCTTCTTCTCTCATTTTCAGACCGAGGAGGAGAAGGTGAAACTACAAGCAGAACTAGACAAGCAGAAGGGAGAATCAGCCAAACAACAGAAGTCAGCAGCAGAACTGGAGGTAGGTGCCTGTCTTCTCTTTCTTTCTTCCTGAGAACACACAAGAGCCTCCTTATGTGTGTGTGTGTGTGTGTGTGTGTGTGTGTGTGTGTGTGTGTGTGTCGTACCGAATAGGTAAAATTGGTCACTTAGCAAGAACTCATTTAAAAGTAAAAATTAATAATTTCGTACCAAAAGAACCTTAGAAAACTTACCTAGCTTCAATGTACATATTTTTTTTATTATTTTTATTATCACACTGGCCGATTCCCACCAAGGCAGGGTGGCCTGAAAAAGAAAAACTTTCACCATCATTCACTCCATCACTGTCTTGCCAGAAGGGTGCTTTACACTACAGTTTTTAAACTGCAACATTAACACCCCTCCTTCAGAGTGCAGGCACTGTACTTTCCATCTCCAGGACTCAAGTCCGGCCTGCCGGTTTCCCTGAACCCCTTCATAAATGTTACTTTGCTCACACTCCAACAGCACGTCAAGTATTAAAAACCATTTGTCTCCATTCACTCCTATAAAAACACGCTCACGCACGCCTGCTGGAAGTCCAAGCCCCTCGCACACAAAACCTCCTTTACCCCCTCTCTCCCAAACCCTTTTCCCTAGGCCGACCCCTCCCCCGCTTCCTTCCACTACAGACTGATACACTTTTGAAGTCATTCTGTTTCGCTCCATTCTCTCTACATGTCCGAACCACCTCAACAACCCTTCCTCAGCCCTCTGGACAACAGTTTTGGTAATCCGCACCTCCTCCTAACTTCCAAACTACGAATTCTCTGCATTATATTCACACCACACATTGCCCTCAGACATGACATCTCCTGCCTCCAGCCTTCTCCTCGCTGCAAAATTCATCACCCATGCTTCCACCCATATAAGAGCGTTGGTAAAACTATACTCTCATACATTCCCCTCTTTGCCTCCAAGGAAAAAGTTCTTTGTCTCCACAGACTCCTAAGTGCCCACTCACCTTTTCCCCTCATCAATTCTATGATTCACCTCATCTTTCATAGACCCATCCGCTGACACCGTCAACTCCCAAATACTGAATACATTCACCTCCTCCATACTCTCTCCCTCCAATCTGATATTCAATCTTTCATCACCTAAACTTTTTGTTATTCTCATAACCTTACTCTTTCCTGTATTCACCTTTAATTTTCTTCTTTGCACACCCTGCCAATTCATCCACCAATCTCTGCAACTTCTCTTCAGAATCTCCCAAGAGCACAGTGTCATCAGCAAAGAGCGCTGTGACAACTCCCACTTTGTGTGTGATTCTTATCTTTTAACTCCACGCCTTTGCCAAGACCCTCGCATTTACTTCTCTTACAACCCATCTATAAATATATTAAACAACCACGGTGACATCACCATCCTTGTCTAAGGCCTACTTTTACTGGGAAAAAATTTCCCTCTTTCCTACATACTCTAACTTGAGCCTCACTATCCTCGTAAAAACTCTTCACTGCTTTCAGTAACCTACCTCCCAAAGAATACACTTGCAACATCTGCCACATTGCCCCCCTATTTCCCCCCTGTCATACGCCTTTTTCCAAATCCCTAAATGCCACAAAGACCTCTTTAGCCTTATCTAAATACTGTTCACTTATATGGTTTTACTGTAAACACCTGGTCCACACACCCCCTACCTTTCCTAAAGCCTCCTTGTTCATCTGCTATCCTATTCTCCGTCTTACTCTTAATTCTTTCAATAATAACTCTACCCTACACTTTACCAGGTATACTCAGCAGACTTATCCCCCTATATTTTTGCACTCTCTTTTATCCCCTTTGCCTTTATACAAAGGAATTATGCATTTCTCTCTGCCAATCCCCAGGTACCTTACCCTCTTCCATACATTTATTAAATAATTGCACCAACCACTCCAAAACTATATCCCCACCTGCTTTTAACATTTCTATCTTTATCCCATCAATCCGGTGCCTTACCCCTTTTATTTTACCTACTGCCTCACGAACTTCCCCACACTCAAAAAACTGGCTCTTCCTCATCCTACAAGATGTTATTCCTCCTTGTCCTATACACGAAATCACAGCTTTCCCTATCTTCATCAACATTTAAACAATTCCTCAAAATATTCCCTCCATCTTCCCAATACCCCTAACTCTCCATTTAATAACTCTCCTCTCCCATTTTTAACTGACAAATCCATTTGTTCTCTAGGCTTCCTTAACTTGTTAATCTCACTCCAAAAATTTTTTTTTATTTTCAAAAAAATTTGTTGATAACACCTCACCCACTCTCTCATTTGCTCTCTTTTTACATTGCTTCACCACTCTCTTAACCTCTCTCTTTTTTCTCCATATACTCTTCCCCCCTTGCATCACTTCTACTTTGTAAAAACTTCTCATTTTGCTAACTTTTTCTCCCTTACTACTCTCTTTACATCATCATTCCACCAATCGCTCCTCTTCCCTCCCGCACCCCCCCTTTCCTGTAACCACAAACTTCTGCTGAACTCTCTACACTACATTTTAAACCTACCCCATACCTCTTTACCCCTTGCCTTGCTCTCATTAGCCCCTCTATTCTCCATGCTGTTTTATCTTACCCTAACTGCCTCCTCTTTGTTTATAAACCTCACCCCTCTCTTCCCGATACTTCTATCTCCCCTTTTATCCCATCTACATTTTCTCTCAGTGTAGCTACAACTAGAAAGTGATCTGATTTCTGTGGCCCTCTAAAAAAACTGTACATCTGAAGTCTACTAAAAAACGTTTTTTTATCTACCAATACATAATCCAAAAAAACTACTGTCATTCGCCCTACATCATATCTTGTATACTTTTTATCCTCTTTTCTTAAATTGTATTCCCCTATAACAAAAACCCCTTTCTATAAAAAAGTTCAATAAAAGGGCTCCCATTATCATTTACACTGGCCCCAAACTTACCTACCCACCTCTCTAAAAGTTTCTCCTATTTAGCATTCATGCCCCCTCCCACAATTACTCTTCATTTGGGTTCAAAGGTCCTATACATTTACTTAAATCTCCCAAATTCTTCTTCCTCTGATTCCTCTCTTCTCCAGGTGCATACAGTTATTTACCCACTTCCGCATCCAACCCTTTTCTTTAATCCACATATTCTTGAATTTACACCAAAAACACACACACACCCCACTATATATATATTATTATATATATATATATATTATATATATATATTATATTATATATATATTATATATTATATATTATATTATATATAAATTCAAAACAACCCCCTCTGTTTCCCATCTCCCCTATTATTCCCCGATCAAGATAGAGTCAAACTGTTGTTTTCTCATCAATGTTTTTGGGGGCTTACGAATTGTAGTCCTGACTTTATAGTGAGGAAAATATCCAAAATTTATGAAATAGGTAATGATTTAAAATACCAAGAAAGTAATTGATAAAAACTTTTAAAATTGTAGAAAAAACTTTTTTTCAATCCAAAAGGACAACCGCCTTTTTAACTAAAAATAGTTGGTTCTCCCTTACCATGAAAACTTGGTTGATATGCCTTTCTTTTTAAGACTTTTAATATTAAAGTTGTATTCAAAAAACTTGTACAGTAAAAAAATTTTGATAAAAAATTCCCCCCCAAAAAGTGATGGATGTGTCCATAAAAATTCCCTTTTAAAATTTGCGATAAAATTTATTACGGTCAAACTGGTTTTAAAAATTCGAACTAAGATTAAAAAAAACATAAATAAGCACTAGACGGACAAGATTCCAATGCTCTATTTTTTCATGTAAGAGTTTTAAACCCTCAATTGATTTTCAAAAAGTTTGGAAAAATGTATCAAGCAAATCCATGGTCGACAGGAAAATAATTGAATTTGTTTGTAAAAGCAGTTTTTAAATTAAAATTTAAAATTTCCCTTTTGGGTTTTTATAAATTAGATCCCTTTATAATTAATAGAATTTGGGAAGAATTTAATAATACATGGACAAATAATAATTTTTAAATTTTCTTGGGTAGAATAGTATGGGGGTTTGAGTTGTGCAAAGGACCTTACAGTTGGGTCGGCGCCGCGTCAGGTGTTTAACCGTTGTGGGATCTGATAGTGAGTTGTTGGCCAGACCCCTTTTATAGCTTCCTTGGATGCTTTTATTTCCCCATAGTTCCTTGATAATGTGAGTAGTCACGAAAGCGCTAGGAATTTCTCTATTCTTTCAGAGTGGTTGTTTTGCATATTCTGAAATCATCTGTTTACTGTGATCTTATTGCATATAATAGTATATTTATATATTATATTTATATTTATATATATATATATATATATATATATATATACATATTTTATATATATATATATATATATATATATTTATATATATATTATATATATATATATTTTTTTTTTTTTTTTTTTTTTTTTTTTATTTTTTTTATTTTTATATATATATAATTATATATATATATAATATATATATATTATATATATATATATATATATATATTTTATATATATATATTTTTATATATATATATATTATATATATATATATATATATATGTCGTGCCGAATAGGCAGAACTTGCGATCTTGGCTTAAATAGCAACGCTCATCTTGCCATATAGGACAAGCGAAAATTTGTGTATGCAATAATTTCGCCAAAATCATTTTTGAAAATAACGAAAAAATATAATTTTACTGTGTTTGTTTAGTATTAAATTATTGTAAACAAATCTAAAATATAATTTTTGTTGGGTTAGGCTAAAATAAATTGTTCTTGTTATAATAAGGTTTGGCAAAGGTTTTTTAAGATTCTTTTGATGCAAAATTTAAAAAATTTTTTCATCACCCTTAAAAAAAAAAAATCTTTAAACCCTTTTAAACTTAATTTTTTAAAAGAGTTCTTTTTAAATGGGGCCAGTTTTTCATATTCGGCCCCGACAAATATATTTTAATATATAATTTAAAAATTTTAAAATATATATATATAATATAATATATATAATATTATATTATATATATATATATATACATATATATATATTATAATATATATATTATATATATATATAATATATATATATAA